CCCGGCCCCGGCCGCGCGTGGCACTGCCTGGATTTGCTACGCGGCACTCGCGCCCGAGGGAGCCCGGCGTTTTTATCAATGAACGCCTGTCCCCTCCCCAGCGTCTCGTCATTAAGAGCCCGCCCCCTCCTTAGGGGCGAGACACCGAAAAGCCACGCCCCTCCTCAGGACTTACGTAAACAAGAAGCTCTTCCTCCCACTCACGCACCCCGAGGCCCAGGCTTACTGCTAGTCATCTTGCGGATGCCACCGGGACGTAGGGGCCAGCCTTGTTCCCGCCCCCCTACTCCGCCCTGGTGACTGAGAATCCCGCTAATGAGGGTCCTTTTTTTTCCCCATCCTTGGGGGCTTATGCTGAAGTTCGAGGGTCCTGGACATCTGGGGAGTCTTCCCCACAACTAGATGGACCAGCGTTCTAGCTGGAAAGGAAGGGGCAGGGGCGGCGCTCGCTTTTGCCTGGGCACGTCACTACCAAACCCCTTTAAGTGCGCGGGACTTTGCGCTCATCCCACGCCTGAGGGCTCTGGCCAGTGCTGCCCCCTTTAGGGCCTGGGAGGAATTGCAGACTCTCGAGCCGGACTTGGGGAATGAGGAAGACCAGGGCTCTCATGCTGAGTTTTGGGGCATTAGAGGCATTTGCCATGAGCCAGGTCACGTCTTCCGCTACCCACTTCCACACCTTTCAGGGGTAGATCTCAGGTTCTGGCGGAGTGCCTATTCCCTTTCCCTGAAAATATCCATTGCCCGGAGTCTGCAGCCAGAGGCCAGAAAGTGAAGAATTAGAATTCTATTTTCTCAAATCTAGCAATGGACAATTGAAGAGGTGGTCCCTGGGCCATCTGAACCCCTAGACCTCTGGTCCATGCCTACCCTTCCCAGGGCCAGAGACAGAGAGAGGTGGGGTTTTAACCCCTCTGGATCCCAGGGTCACAGGCTTCCTCCTGGTCTTGGCCTTCTCACCTCTTTGTGCTCACTCTGTACTATCTAGTCAAATTATTAAGCTCTTCAGTCCTCAAAGATTTGAGAGCACTTGGTAAGCGCCAAGCACTGTCTGTGTAAGACTGGTCAAATTGCAGCCTTTATTTAGTTTACATTCTGCTTGATGGAAACAAGGCAATAGACAAGGATATAAACAAGGTAATTGAAGGCTGTGAAAAGGGCTAGAAGGAAGTAAATAGAAAAGTAACCAAAGAGCCTACTTTAGAAAGAGTAGCCAGGAAAGTCAACAAATAATACAATTTATTGAGTACCCAATTCCTGTCAGTTTTATGTCCAAACATCTCTGAGATCTATCCACTTCGCTCCATCTTCCCTGAGCACTCTAATCCAGGTCACTGTCTGTCAGGTTGGGATTATTGCTACAGCACCTTCCTGGTCTCCTTGCCCTTAGTCTCAACTCCATTTCATTCTTGTGCCATATGACCATCCCACCCCATGCCTCATCAGGCCCAGTCTCCAACTTTGCCCTCCATGTGCCCTGAAGGGAGAACAAAACCCGCCTGAGCTGTGGAGAAATACTAGTAGCTCTGATGAGCAAGGGGAGGTGGGGGATGGGCAGGAAGGCCTTATATGCCATACTTAGGACTTTGGTCTTTATCCTGCAGGTCAACAGTTTTCCAGAGGGAACATGGTAGGGGTAAGGCCAGAAAAAACATATCCACAGGGGAAATGGGACTGAGGCGTGTATAGTTTGATAAGGCATGTTTCATACTGACATTTTATATTTGTAAAATAAAGCAAAATGTCTTTGTATGAGTTTGCTAGGGTTGTCATAAAAAATACTACAGACTAGGTGGCTTAAACATCAGAAATTAATTTTCTCACAGTTTTGGAAGCTGGAAAGTCAAGATCAAGGTATTGACAAGGTTGCTTTCTTCCAAGGCCTCTCTCGTAGTTTGTAAATGGAGGTCTTTTCCCTCTGAGTTCACATGATCTTTTCCCCAGTGTGTCCTAATCACTTCTTCCCTTAAAGACATTAGTCAGATCAGATTAGGGCCTACCTCAGGCCCTCATCTTAACTACCTCTTTAAAGGTTCTATCTCCAAATATAGTCACATTCTAAGGTACTGGGGGTTAGGACTTTGTAGAGGAGTCAAAACTCCACCCATCTTAGGCATTCATATAGGACTCTATTTTTTTTTTCTCCAGCTTTATGTTTTTTATCAGTAGGCTTTATTTTTTAGAACAGTTTTAGATGTTTTAGACAAACTGAACAGATAATACAGAGTTCCCATATACTCTCCCCCACCACTACACACACACATAGACACAGTTTCCCCTATTATTATCATCTTATGTTAGTACCTTACATTTCTTACAAGTAACTTTCAGTGGTTTCCCATTGCTCTGAGAATGAAATCCAGAATCCTTGTGATGGTCTACAGAGTTCTGCATGATCAGGCCCTGTCTACCACTCCAAGCAATTTCCTCTTGCACACTTTGCTCCAGCCAGAGAGGCCTCCTCTCTTCCTCACACAGAACAGAACTGTTCCTGCCTCTGGGCCTTTGCACATTTATTCCCTCTGCCTGGAATACTTTCCCCCACGTCTTTACTTATTACTCGTTCATTCTCATCTTTTTTCTGGCTTAACTCACATGTCACCTCCTCAGAAAGGTCTCCCCAACCACACTATCTAAAATTGGATTCCCTCGTCAAATTAACCCATACAGGACTTTTCGACAAAGAGATTAACAATAACAACAAATACAGAAAATAAAGAAGTTTATCAACATGTATAGCTTATGTGTACATGGGAGATACTGAGGAAAAATGAGTAACTCTCCCATGTGGCTTAGAATTGAGGCTTAAATCCAACCTGAATAGAGAAAGTGGGAGGGGAATGTAGGCCTCTTAAGGGAGAGTAAATAATTTCTGGAAAAGACGAATGGGACCTTAGAAGAATGGATGGGAGGTATGATGGTTTATGACAAAGTCTGTCTGGATGTCATACACAATTCTAATTTCCTTGCCTGTGATATGAGATGAAACTCCCAGGAAAGGGCTTTATGACCGTTGAGTTCCTTTTGGAGGATCTGTCTTTAGGCAGACAAGGGGAGTTCAAAGAAAGCCTCTCCCTGCATTTGCTGTTTTTCAAGTGCCTACAGCTGAAAATAATCAATATACCACTGTCTTCTCCCCTTGGGAGGTTAACAAAGTTCTTGAGCCTTCTCTGGGAGCCGGGACATCAGGAGTAGGTCCTCCTGGATGCTGTAACTGAAGGGCCTGGCAGCCTGTTCTGCCTTCTCCCTCAGTGTAACATATGCTGCCATTAATGGGTCTTATGCACCTGCCACACACCAGTCATTTATCTTTTTTTTTTTTACAATTTATTTTATTCATTTATTTATGGGGAGGTAATTAGGTTTGTTTGTTTGTTTGTTTGTTTATTAATGGAGGTACTGGGGATTGAACCCAGGACCTCACACGTGTTGAGCACACACTACCACTGAGCTATACCCTCCCCCACTGGTCATTTATCTTATGGACTGCTTACAGCAACCTTATGATGTGGATGTGATTATCCCATTTCACAGATGGGGAAACTGAGGCTCTTGGGGCTAAGCCTCTTGCCCAAAGTCATATGGCTACCAAGGGGCAGAGACAAGATCTGAACCCAAGATGTCTGACTCCGCTATTTACTACTGCCTGACTTTTCTGGGGGTCGCTAGTTCTCTGTCCATGTATTTGTCCTCCTACACTGCTCTGTGTCTTCCTGTCTCTCTCACTAGTGCCCTTTCTTCTCCCTCCAGGACTCTCACAGCCTCTGCTCAAGCTGAGGTTTTTCTGAGCTCTCTGGGTCTCTATCCAGGATGCCAACAGGCCCCTGCTACAAGTTGAGCACATATCCCACACTCCTTGTCCCCTTGGCAGCTCAGAATCAGAATCTGTAGACAATGTCAGGTCACAGGCATCAGGGGAGTCTTTCAAGAATGAGAGATGCCAAATAAGGTTAGGACTCAGGAGGGCCCTATTGGATTCAGCAGTAAGGAGATCTCAGGTGTCCTTGGTGGGGACAGAGGAGGAAGTACAAGAGCTGAACCAGAGAGAATAGCGATGCGAATAACTACAGTAGCATTTCATGCTTACAGAGCACTTTATAAATATTAATTCACTTAATATTCACCACTAACTCTGTGAGATAGGTATTATCATTCTGTTTCCCCATGGGGAAATTAAGGACAGAGTGGTTAAACAGTTTGTTCAAGGTCATGAAGGTAGTTTACAGTGGAGTCTGGATTTTAAAATCTAGGCAGTCTGGCTCCAGACTCCATGCTATAAACAGCCAAGCCATATATCCAGCTCTCACCTGTGAGAAGGGGAGAGGGCACTGGTGGTTAGGA